AGTCCTGTCATGAATTTGTTTACGCGTATCTGTTGACCGACTTAATTAGCTGATTATTAGCGAATTGCTGTGTTATGTCTGTCATCGTTTAGGCCTATTTGAAGTTTTGGACGGAACTTGGCTCAGTGATTTGGAACTAATTACCAGATAACCGCCGCTATTTAAACTACTCATTCTGACAGTTTATATTCATAGTTATTAATGTAGTGAACGATTAATCAAAAGATATGACGTATTCAGTACTTAGTGTGATTGGCTTTATGATTGAAGGTTACGCCTTAGAGTCTTTTTACTGCTTTGTAATTGGTTAGAGTTTTGAAAATGAATAAAGAGAGTTTGAGTTGGTCTTGGGGAGCACAGCACGATAGACGCAGTAGAGAGTCCAGTCCTGGAGAGCCTTGGGGCGAGCCTTGACGCAGTCGAAAGGCAGTCCTGGAGAATCTAGAGCAGTCCTGGAGAGCCTTGGGGCGAGTGTTGACGCAGTCTAAGAGAGTCTTGGTTCAGCCTTGCGATAGTCTTGGGGACTTTTCCCTAGGGCGCTGTGTCTTATAGAGTGCTTCACAGACCGACTAAGACGAGAGTTGGAACGTATTTTGTTGTGCTTGTCTTATTTGACTGTAAAGCTTAAGTGACTTTCCCGATCCCGTACCTCAAGGGGACGAGATATAGAGACGAGACAAGTGTGGAGAACCCCGAGAGAACCCGAGAAAGAGATTTACCCCTGATAGTCCCATGCAATTAATAGCAAGTGAAATTCCTGGGATTGAAACATGTATTTTGAAGTCACTGATGTAGGCAAGTTGGCATGAAGACGAGGTAGTTTATTTAATCAGTGCTGAACTAGAGGCTGAAATTATAATTAAGTGCGTTGTCATATAACTTGTTTATTTCAATTTCTTCTGAAGTCAAATAGAATGCACTGGTGAAACCGTGAGTGAAAGGATGTTTTGGGGGTATAGTTTACATTGTGTATGGAGTGGTAGGGTCGGGTGTCACATAATTTGTTCATTTCCAACTCTTATGAAGTCACATAGAATTTCACTTAATTTATTTTCGCTGAAATGTTTTCAGCATTACATGTAAATCCGATTTTCCCTGTGCTGTGTCTCAATAAAGTATGAGGTAAATGGCATTTTCACTGGAA